CAGATCCAGGGCCCCCCGACCTCACCTGCAAAATGTCACTCAAATATAAGTCACCGACCAGGAAGAGACTCAAACTGGCCACAAAGAGAAAAAGAGATGCAAAGGAACGGCAAGAGAATCAAAACAGTTTAACAAGAGGTGTGTGTTGCTCCTGTGTAGAAGAGGTGGTGGGGCCTTTTGTCTCTCTGTGCCCAGGGGCCCATTGTCTCATAATCCACCCATGCATGTACCAGTGAAAGTTGAGATGTCGTCCCCGAGTGTCAGAGAGTGTGGGGCCACTGACTGAGCTGTGAGGCGTTGGGGGTCAGAGCATGTTGATGGTCACTATGAGCTGCATGGTGTTGGAGTGTCTTTGCTGTGTGAGCTGCTTGTTTGTGTCGGACAGCTCGACGTCTGCAGGGTTTCCCTCAGAAAGTTTGTTGCTAACTGAACCATTTGACTTTTCTCAGCTGCAAACAAACAACTTTCCAAACATAGCAGACAGCAAAGATCTGCTGAGATCCATCAGTGACAGCTGGGTGAAGCATCTTGTTCTCCTCAACAGTCGTCTAAGCTGAAGTCTGAGTCATTATCGATTTCACCTCAGCCTCAGAGTTCCGCAGGAAACCCTGATCTAATGTGTTTCTGAAATTTAAACTGAACCTGAAGAAGAGAATCATCCTGCACTATCTTAAGCCCTGTGGCCTTCATGTAGCCACTGTGGGTTACGCTGTAGTGCCACAGCGTCTCTCTGTCTCAGCTCTGGCTCTGCCTCTTTATGGGCTCTGCCTTTTCGGAGGTGAGGAACAACGACAGCATGGAAACCTCACAGTGACTGTGAGTGGATGTGTTTTTACTCAGAGCCTCGCTAACGTACTCATCACTTATTTATCAAGCATGAGAAGCGTCTGCAGCAGCCTGCAGACGATTTGTTCCTTTGACCCTTTGAGTCTCTGCTGTTTGTCATGTTGGTGATGTGTGAGCTGTTACACTGACAGTATGTGCAACCTGCATCACAGGCTGAGGTAAATGAACTGTGTCATTAATGTGGCTGCATGCATTAATGAGTCATTAATCATCATTCAGAGGATCAATACAAAGTCTTTTTTCTTTGCTGTGTCTTTTAACAGTCCAACGACACGCTGACACATCTTATCTGTTTTACTCCTTAGTCTCAGTCATGCTTCACTTCACAGTGACTTTATCTCCACACTGTCAAACACTAGAAACAAAGAGCTACACCGTGTTAGCTCTATGTTAGCTCTACGTTAGCTTCTCCTCTGCTACACACTGCAGTCAAACACACCAGCTGCCATCAAACCCTTTGAAAGACAGATCCGTGCTCAGCACAGGACGGACAGATGTTGTGGTCAGACTCTACAGATGTTTGGTAGTTCTGCCCTGAAGCAAAGCTTCAGACAGCTGGCTGCAACTGATGGTCAAACAGGAACAGCATTTTCTCTCATCACAGAGTTGCTGCTAACTATGGTGGCTGACACAAAAATGTCTCTATCTAGAGTCAGTGTTTGGTTTGTCTGTTCTGGGCTACAGTAGAAACATGGTGATCTCTGTAGACGAGGACCTGCTCCCTGTGTAGATATAAACATCTCAGCTGATTGTACACTATAGAAAACAGACTGGATGTGTCATATTTACCTTAAATCCAACACACTGGAACTTTGGGCCAATCCCAGTTCTCTTCCTTTAACCTTACTCTTTGGTTTCAAGTGCACTCGCCAGATAGATTCTCCTCAATGATGAAGGGGTAGTGTTGAGGGGAGGGAATTTTACCTACGAATTGGGACGCCACTTCATGCAAATTAGCGTAACAGAAGTGTACACCTACGTCACGCATATCGTGGACGTCGGCTTTTTGCATGGAGAACTTCAGATATTCATGTCGGCTACATCGTGAATTAGTGATTTTCAAGCGTTCATATTCTACCATTATAGTATGAAAATGTTAACTTAAAAGTGTTCAGCACTGGGAGGTGGTTTGTGCTGCGTCACCAGGTTTTGTTGCTTCTCAGGGTGCGAGAAGGTCCACATGGAGGAGACAGTGAAGGTTCAGAGAGTGACAGTGAGAATAATGTCCAGTGTTTTCTGTCTTCATTATTGAAGAAACTGATCTAAAGATATTTGACCAACGCTGTCCTGTCATGCTCCGCCCATCATGAAGAGACCTTGAAGCTAGCACAGTGTGGTGCTGTCGATGTGGGAGCTTGATGGGGCGGATAGTTTCCAGAGGCTCGGAGCAGACCCCTTCACACACGCTGAAGAAAGCCGTCCTTTGTCACAGCTGATGTCAGTGAAATAAGTTAGTGAGCACACATTCTTGTAGGAATCATAAGACATGTCTCTGCTATCTGTGTCTCTGTGTGTCTCTGTGTGCGACAGTGAGGAACAAACTTCTGTGGCCCTCAGTCATGATTCCTGCCCCGCTGGCAGCGCTCAGTGATTCTCCCAGAAAGACTTCCTTTGTCATTAAATAAGGACAATGATCGGAGGCAGTCAGATTCAGTTTGTGTCTGTTGTGTAATGAAAAAGTAGAAGTGAGATAATGGTTGTCTTTATGCCTCTCTGTGTGTCTCTTTCACTGTGTTGGACGCAGCTAACCCTCCAAGTGTAATATTTAGCCTCGGTCCTGCGTGTGGGCCGACTCTGATCCATCTCACCCTCCTCCTCCTCAGACCTGCTGAAAAACACAAAACCTCATTTGTCTTGTGTTCTCCTGAGATCGATCACAGCTCAACAGTAAAGAGGCCGGCTGAAGGGATTCTCTGCTCTGTCCTAATGGGAAGGGCCGGTCTGAGCACAGTCGGGACGGCACTGCCCACACCGCACCACATCAACACCACCTCCTCTCTGCTGTTAGAAAAAGCTGCTGATGATCAGGAGGCCAGAGATGACAGACTAATCATTTGGATTTTAGTCAAATTAGCACTAACGTCCGGAGGTCCGTCAGATAGTCCGGACAGCTGCGGCCCAGTCGAGACCCTCTTTGTCAATTTGTAATTTAGGAAATTGCGGCATTGTCTTCCCGTGGGGGTTGGCTGGTCGGCGAGAGCTGCGGTTGGGGCTGTTTACGCAGCACATTGGCCTCCCCAGTCGCCAATCAATCTCCGAGTGTCTTTAAGAAACAGAGGAGAAATAAGGAAGGAGCTCTTATTCTCCGTCTTTTGTTTGTTCAACAGTTCCCTCGTCTTCGTGTGGAATCGCTGACGGAATCGCTGCTACTAGCACAATACTGTGTGTGTGTGTGTGTGTCTGTGTGTGTTTTACCTCAGAGCTTGGTGTGTCAGCCCCGGCCCCTGCTCCCCTCAGAGCTGTAAGAATATCAGGCATCACCAGAAGAAACTCTGCGGTCGGCTTGATTGACGCGAGAGGCCTCACCACCAGCCATTCAAGGCACATTCTTACGGGGATCTCATATCGCCAGGGGTTGGCCCGAGCACTCCGGTGCCTTCCAAGGAAAATAAGCGGCGTGACATCAGGGCTTTGTTTCAGTGGCGAGGCCCCTTCTGTTTGTGTTTAATATCGCTCTGAAAGAAGTGGAAAGAGGGCCAGCCAACTTCTCTGGCCCCAACCGCTGAGCCTGGCGCTCCGGCGGTGAAGCGACGGTGGTCTCGTGTGTCTGCAGAGCAACACGCTCTCTTTCTCTTTCTCTCCATCGAGCTCTCTTTGCTCCCAGGAGGCTTTGCAGTTTTGACTACAGGGAAATCAGATCTCACAACACTGGGGGCCGTTTAGGCTGAGAGGGAGCAGAGAGTAAAAACAGAGGTCCAACACTGAGAGACGGGGGGGAGGGGGGGGGGGGGGGAGAAGAGAGGACAAAGGAAAGACAGAAGGAGGGTGAGACAGATGAGGTGAGAGGACGGAGTCAAAGCGAAGGCCAGCCACGTCTGGGTGGTTTTCCTGAGGACAGGCTCTTTGATACTCCAGCACTCACACTCCAATGCATGTCGACAGGGGTTGACAGTGGTTTCAGGCAGCGGTTTGTCTGGCTAGCTAGCTTTGATTTAGAAGACCCTGGACTGCGGGCCCACGATTTGACTCTTTGATTTTTGTTGGATGGAAAATTGGTAAAGTTTTTTGAACGTTTAGGTTCAGCCCTGAAGGCAGATGGCTTTAACTTTCCAACTCTTTTTTTTTTTTTACAGTATTTTCAAGTGTTTCACTTGATTCATGACCAAGCTGTAATTGCAGTATGACTACACCTACTTAAAAATGATTGTCCACTATTTGTCTTTTGGATTAAAGTTAGAGAAGAAACTCGATTGTCTGAAGTGTTAACACAAGGACTAACTGTCAGTGACAAGATTATTCTCAAGTGTTTTTCAGACTCATAAAGTCTCGTTCAGTCATAATTTGATTTGATTTGCTGTTAAAAAAGGTCAAATCATCAGAACAACTTTCCATCTGTGGTTCACATTGTTTTTCTGAAAAAATAAAGAAACCCAGACTTTTACTGAAATCACTGCTGAGACAGGCATTGTCTCCGAAGTTCATTTCTCTACTTACGCGCTCACATTTCTGCAGAGATCCAGTTTTATAGAATGTCACCATTAAAGCAAAGTAGGATTCAAGCTCAGCGTTGAGACGTTTCTGTAGCTATTGTCTGGATTTATTTGTGGATGCAAATGGAGATCCAAGCTGCTCTCAGCATCTGTAGAAAGAATAAGTGTCAGAGATGGATGGCAGATAATTTGAAACTAAGATGTTTTGCTGGAAGGCCTCTCTGATAGAGACTCAAACAAATCTTCCATTTGTGTGGGACACTCCTGTCAGCTGCAGACGGAGGTGCGTTCACGTGTGTGCGTTTGTTTCCATGTGTGTTTGGCTCGGACACACACCCATCAACCCTCAGAAGATGTGAGCGGTGCCGGGGAGGATAGGATGAAGGGTGTGGGGGGGTTCAGAAGAAGAGAGGAGACAGAATGAAAGAGGAAAGCCACTGACTAGCTGCTGGCGAGCGATGTTAATAGCCTGTCGGTTTTGCTGGTTTCTTCCCTTTTTTGCAGCAGCTGTACGCCGCCCAGCTGGCAAGCATGCAGATCTCACCAGGAGCCAAGATGGCTTCCCTCCCGCAGGCTCCCAACTCCTCCGGTCCCCTTTCCCCCTCCGCCCTGAAGAGCGAGAAGAGAGCGTCCAGTCCTGTCGCTCACATTAAGGTGAGTCCAGAGTTTCTGTTGAGTTGTTTAAATGATCCAACAGGATTTACACACACCAGGTGGACACATTTAAAACTAGTCTGCATCTCAGAAGAAGGACCAACGAGCAGGAAGCAGAGAAACAGCAGCACCGTGTTTACTGTGCTCAGGAACAGCCGGCAATGAGATGAACGTACAGCAGCTCCGTATAAACAGAAAACAGAAAACAGAGTCTCTAAAGTCACAAACATCAGAATAAGTCACAGGAAAGAGTTCTGAAAATATTTGATAGAAAAACACACAATGATGATTAGTTGGAGTCAAAGTGAGAGGCTGGAAATTTGGAAGTTGTTGAAACAACAAACGGCACATGGCACTGCGCTGCAACAATTAGAAACAGCTTATTTAAAAGTCACACACTGATACACACACTCACACAGCGACACTGGCGCTGGCTGCTGTTTGGCAGGAGCCCAGCCCCCTCCACTGGAGAGAGCGTACGCCTCGCCTTCACTCGCCGACGAGGCGGTAATGGAAGCCATGTGTGTGTGTGGGGCACAGCTGCAGCGGCGTCACAATAGACCGGCGTCAGAGCTCACCACACTCAAACAGTAGTGATGTGCCCTCCAAACTCCCCACCCTGCACTAACCCCCGCACACACTCAGCCCACCAACACCCCCCACTCTGGCATGCCACCCGCAGCCTAACACACACACACACACACACACACACACACACACACACACACACACACACACCCGCCCTGCTGAGCCCGTCCTAAACTCCTCTCGTTCTCAACACTTCCCTCAGCTGAAGCTCCAAATTAGATCCGCACTCATTAAGCGTTTGCTGCCAACACAAGAGCCGCACTGAGGCCGTGTTGACATGCATTACAGGAGATCCCGTCTGTGGATCAGCGTGGTCGCAGACCTTCGTTTAGAAAGAGAGGCGTCGTACAAAGGTGCCTTTGTTTAGATATGAAGGTTCACTGCCACAGTTTCCCCCCGTCAGGTTCATAGAGGTGAGCAGAGGAATTCATTTATTGAGGGGATGATAGGGATGACTGATCAGTCAGTGGGAACAGCACTTAACTACTGAAAACACTTTAAAAGATCATTTGGACAAAATTGAAAATCAGCTGCTGTGCTCACTTTAAACGGAGTCAATTACACTTTAAATGGGGACTGGTTTAGTTTCACCAAAATATGTCTGTGTCACACTTTGTTCCATCCAGAGCTGCTTCCACCTCACTGTGCCTCTGGACGCATCTTTATCCTAATAAAACATTTGCGAAGTTGATTTTTGGAAACAGACATGTCTGTGAAAGTTGTTCAGCGGCACATGAAGCTAAGTAGTTGACCTACCGGGTTTAAATTCACCTGGATCTCCCTCATCATCGGGCCCACGGAGCAGGCCCATTAGAGACTTCCTCCAACCAAGCAGCCACTTTCTGTTTAGCACTCCGCTAACTTGAATGGGGATAAAATAATTTAGTCTCGTGGCTCTTCTAGACTTTACAAATGTTATCAGATAGAATCCTGATAGTGAAATGAGTCGTTTTTGTGGGACTGTGATGCTCCACTGATTTACAGACATCTTTTTCCCGATGTTAGTCAATGGTTAAAAGTCTGTTTGGGCCCAATGACATCTCATGACCAAACAGGAAGTTGTAATTAATTGTTTGGCCATTATGTAAAATAGGTTTCAAATCCCAGCAGTGTTCCTGGGGGCTTGTTAATGTCTAAGTTTCCTTGCTAGCAGCCTTCCTCCTTGTCTTTGTTTCTGCATCACTACGTTTGTTGGCAAGATTTTTTCCAACAAATGTCAATAAGTGAAACCGTGTGAAACCATCAGCAGGCCTGCGTCTGAAGAGCACTGTTAAAACATTGATTGTGCTACTGTGGGTCAAAGGTCAGCCTCTCAGTTCAGTTCAGTACCCATCAGGTTATTTCATTGTGAAGAGTTGTGGATGGTACCAACAGAACCGTCCCGTCCCCTTTTTTCCATTTATTGAGCCAAGTATGTGCGACTCCTCTACGATAGGTGGAGATATGCCCCCTTTCAGCTTGTTAGTATTG